GTGAGTTGATATCCAATCAAAACCTTAATTATTTGAGAGTTTATGCTAGAAACTCCCAACCTTGCAGGTATTTTAAGCTCGAACAACGCGACCGTTCGAGCTGAAGAGTTTGTATCCACTGCCTCGTCCGAGATGATCACATTAGGTTTAATTGATTTAATTTTGAATAATTCATGAGCTACGTAAACTTTCCATCACCATTTAGAGAGGGAAGTGGGGATCTTTATCTTATAACCTATCCTTGAAATATATTATAATTCTGAAATGGGAAGTGGGGATCTTTACCTTATAACCTATCTTAGAATTATCCTATAATTTTGAATAAGGAAAATTAGATGCAGGGGTGTAGATAATTTTTATTTATTTTACCCGAGGCTGCTTAACGATGAACTATTATTCGAATCAAACTATTCGCGAGCGCAACTCAATTGAGCTCGTGAAAGATCTAATACAACTATTTCATACACTTCATGAGGCTAAGCTCGAATACCTAATCAAGTTTGTTTATTAAATAATCACAAATTCGAACATGAGATATCCGACTTAGCTCGACTCGAATAACATCTTTAGCTAGATGACAAGCATAAAGAAATTAATATATGAAAATAATTCTTTTAAATATTCAATACAACTTACATAAAAAGTTAAATGAATGAAAGTATATTTTAAAAATCTAATGAATGTCAAAACTAAATTATTAAAATCCACAATGTTCAATCACAAAATAAATATTCTATTGGAATTCTAGAAGAAACAAATTATATAGAATTAAAATATAAAGTAATTGATGTATTCCATATGTAATGTAATATGAATTATACGAATAACCAATATTATTTTGAATATAATAATTCAATATGATTTAATCAAAATAAAAAAGAAAACAATAAGAAAAAAACAACATGTTAAACTATAAAGAAAAGTATTTAGAGACTTAAATCATGTCCAAATATGCCTATATAAATTTAATTATATTATCTCAAATGTTTAATTATGCTTTCATCGAACAAGTTGTGTGCATAAATTTAAACTAATTATATTTCTAAATGTTAGAATATCACTGTGAGTTGTCCCACATCGTTCATACATTTAAAATAGACCCACCTTATAAGTCTAATGGCTACTCCTCCTTCCACTAATTGATTTTGGGATGAAACCCCACTTGGGCTTCATATGGGCTTTTCCCGCTTTGGTGCGCTTCATGTTAGTGGGCCCGCACCCGTTTTCCCCCAGTTTCTTACATGGTATCAGAGCCGGCTCTATTGCTGACCGTGCGATGACGTACCCGTCACCAGCCGTGTTGGACTTGGGCTTTCGAAGGACTAACAAGTGAGAGGGCGTGTTTGAATATCACTTGTGAGTTGTCCCACATCGTTTATACATTGAAAATAGACTCACCTTATAAGTCTAATGGTTTACTCCTCATTCCACAAATTGGTTTTGGGATGGAACCCCACTTGGGCTTCATATAGGCTTTCCCCGCTTTGGTGCGCTTCATGTTAGTGGGCCCGCACCTGTTTTTCCCGAGTTTCTTACACTAAATTTCGTCACAAATCAATTCCTATTAGCTCTTGATCATTACATAGTATAAGAAATATCTTCACAACACTATTAAAGCAAACATTAATCAACAATTTTTTTACTTATTTGTAAAATAAAACTAGAATAAGCAATAATTTGTGTCTTTTTTATTATTATTATTTATAAAAAAAGGCTCCAACCTCTTCTACTTTTGAGAATGAAAATTAATAAATTAATAAGTTTCTTTCTAAAAATATATGAGTTACATGGGGCTAGAGCCCACCCTAGCCCTGGCTCCTCCCATGATTAGATGTTTTGTTTAATTTGGTATTTCAACAATTTAATCTAGTATGCCATATTAGTTGATCAATTTTTATTTGAATCATGTACTTTGTCTTTTATGGAATTGTAGACTTTTATAAAATAAATATGTATTTACAATCTTAAAGCAATTATACAGTTGAATCCAAGGAGAGATCTAAAAACACTGTGTAGCTAAAACCCACCCACAAGGCTGAATAGAAAAAACTCCCACAAATGGACACTAAACACTTCCAAAAGAGAGAATAACAACACAAAACGCTCCCAAAGGAAGAAAAACAACACAACAAACAAACACACAAACAACAAAACAAACAAGAGAACACCACAAAAAAATATAATAATAATAATAACTAATAATTAGAGAACAACTCTCCCCAACATCCGACAAGTGAAACCGCCTCCACTTGAGAGCCAACACCTGAAAACGACCACCAGAAAAGACAGAAGCACGGCCCCAACCACAAATCTAGAGACTCAGTATTGTTACGACTAACTAAAATCGGACCAGGAACCAAACCCCCATCAAAATGGAACGCCACCAGAACAACACTAAGAGACAACACCAAAAAAACATCCCTAGAAACACCACCAGCCACTACTAACAAACTAAACAAAGGACGATAGCAGTATCCGTCGGAGCATCCTCCATCCGAGCACCAGAGAAACAGAGAGATACTAAGGGAGAAAAGGGCACTAATCTCAACCCCGACCACCACTGAAGCGGCAGATGGCACCGAAGCCAAGAACCTCACCTACGAGTCAGCGTAACCCCCCTCAAAACTCCACCTAGCCACCCAGAACAAGTGTGAGGAGCTAGCCGAAATGGGATCGACGACCAAACGAGAGACTCAATAACCACCCCGGTGAAGGTCAACACCAAGGAGGGGTGGATATCACCATCACACTACCCCCGACTTTGACTAACAAGGGCAGAGACAGGGCTGAAATCCACCGATAATCCCCAAATCAACAAAACAACGACCCTATCTCCCCTTAAGAGGATAGCTTCCCAACCGACTGTTGGACCTCAAAACAACAACCTTCACAAGAAGGAATCCCAGGCAGTGCTGGAAAACATGGCCGAGGGGGACCCCGAGGGAGATAGCACGCCGACCAAACCAGAGAGGGATATCAGGGACATCGACCCCAACCCGAAGTCAGCCGGCTCGATTTCAAGGGAGCTTGGAAGCAGACGAATGGCGAAGACGGATTTTCTAGGGCTCGGAAATTTGGAGAAGAGGAGTTCTTTTTCCTTTGCTAGGCAAATTTTCAATAATTCATACACTTCTCAATTGTTAATAAATTATAATAAGAAGAATAATTTATGTCTATATAAAAAGGTTTGATTATTTTTTAAATAGTAATTATTTCCCGCCCAAAAAATTCTTGCTTACTAAATAAAGATTCTTTTTTTTAAATATTTTTTTTACTTTGTTTTTTAATTTCCATCCAATATCAGAATGAAACCCGTTAACTTACCTTCAAATTCAAAATTTTACTAGCATAGGACCTGTGATTATTTGCAATATTTAGTTTGCACATTAAATAAAATTTCTATGTTTAATATATCGGACCGAAATTTTCTTAGAAAATTTTAGTTCATATTTAACTTAAGTCAATCAAACCACAATTATCTTACAAATCTACTATCATAGACTCTACGAATATATGTCTACGAATATATCTCACATAGAATTTTAAATATATGATAAAAATTTTACCAAAATAATTATTTTATGGAATCACATTGTAGTCGAATCGAACTTGTGAATAAATATTTTAAAATGACCTTTATTTTGAAATGATTATAATGTTTTTTATTATTAGTTACGTGCACCATAAGGGTTGTGTACTAAATTGACATGTTTTATGTAAACTAGGACGATATAAAATCCATATAACATTTTCAATAAATTAATATAGGTAAATTGTATTACATATTGATTCAATATTTTTAATTTATAAATATTATTTAATAAGCATTTTTAATTTATAAATATTAATGAATATCTCTTACTCGTATATCGCACGAGATTCGTACTAGTTAATTATAATAAAAAAGATTAACTAATAATTTTCATTAGTAGTTTCAATTACAAAATTTTTAAATCATTAGATAATGTACCGTGATTTTATTCAAACCCTCAAACAAAGAAAGTTCATTTAAATATTATTATGTTCACATGCACAGTCTGTGAATTTTTTTTTTTTATATTATATATATGTATATAATGTGTAAAATTTTACATTAGATAAAGTGTATTACATTTAAACATTTTGACTAGATGTAAATGAACAATATAAATTATTTAAATTCTATATGAATCGTTATATTGATGACATAATATAAAATAGATAATGTAATTTTTTAATTTAGATGGACAATTCAATTAATTAGTTAGAAAAGTATTGCAATTATTTTTATTAGTGTTATAGAAATTGTTTATTTGATTTAAGGAATTTAATTATGCCACTCAAATCAATTAACTAATATTAGAAAAAACTTACTTAATAAGAATGAAAAAAAAAACATTATTGTAGAATAAGTATTTTAAACAAAAAAGTTTGCAATATATTTTTTTATAAGTATGCAATTTTTCACGTAATATTTAATGTAAATTTATAATTGATTAGAAATTATATAACAAATCAGTTTAAAATTAATTTTACTTGCTTATATAAAATGTAACAGTTTTTTTATATTAATTGAAAAAACTGAGCCGAAAAATTGTATGATTTGTATTAATTTGATTGATTAGACCAAGACGTCTGTGTCCTTGGGTATAAATTGTTTTATTGAGTTGGGCCAATATATTAATCTCACACCAGTGAGGCCCAACCTAATAGAAGAAACGAAAGCCCACATGCTGATGTCTTTACAAAGCAAGCTCTACAGTGCTCTACAAAGCAAGCTCTACAGTGCTCTACAGTCGATCTCGAGAAGAAGAAGAAGAAGAAAAAAAAAAAAGAATGGGGCTATGGGCATGCATTGGAGTGATATCGCCATTTCCATTTTACTACTTTCTCTGGAATAACCCTCAAAGATGGGTCGATCTGTGTGGGCCCCGCCGTGACCCGACCCGAATCATGGCACTCGTTTCGCATCTTCTCAAAATTGTCCAGTTTATATCACTCTTTTCCGTCGCCAAGCTTTCTTGGCCGCCTCCTTTCTATTTCTTCCCTCTCTTCCTTTTCGGCCAATTTCTCAATTTCAGGTTCTCTTGCTCTAATTAGTGTTTTATTTTTTTTTTATTTTTTTCCCTTGTTTAATGGATAGATATGGAGAGTTTTCTACTTCCGATTTTAGGATACTTTTGAGTTGTTTCTCTATGAATTCATTATGATGTATTTATTTTTTGAGATTTTGAATCTGGTGGTTGACTGTGTTTCTGTTTAACGAATCGAGTAAACAGATTACTGTTGAGGCTCTTTTGAGTATTCGAGTTCAAATTGATTTTATTAATTTGATTATTAAGCAAATCATGTTAAAATAGCTTTCAGAATTAGCTATCCAAAATTTCTGTTTATTCTTGTATTGCTTGTTTACGGTTGCCTATTGCTAACTTCTTGAGTGCTGGGATTGCACTTTATGAGCATGGTAAAATTAGTTTATGGTTATGATATTAGAATTTGTGTAATGGAACTGCAGTTGGGATCTTGCATCTCCAGATTCCAGAGCCATTGAATCCAAATTCCTGAAGTTCAGTTGTTCTTGAAATAAAAGAATTGCTTAATTGTTATTAGATTCTTATGTTAAACAACATGTTTGACCTGCTAATCTAATATGGAAAAGTTCATATACTTGCTTAATATAGTTTTGCTATATACATGCTTCATGCATCTTGTCTTTATGTTTATCAAACAGTTTTCATTTTTTATTTTTTTCCTTTAGTGCTTGAGGAATTTGGTACCAACTATCTTTTTGTTGCACTTTCGTGCTGAAAAATTGAAACCTTTATTGTGCAAATTGCTGATGTTTGTATGTAGATAGTAGGTGAGTGAGAGTAGGAATGAAGATACCACATCAAATTTACTAACTTATCCTTGACAAGAAACACCCTTTTCTGCTCAGTGCCTCAGTCTATTAGAAAATAGGGCAACAAGTGAAAAGAAAAACCAAACTACCCTTAACCTATCCAAACATCACATAGATTTTTGTTTCTCTTTGACAAATTACGTTCCTCTCAAGTTCGAATGTTTGCTAATATGAACATAAGTGATCTTTCTTTTTTTTTTTTTTGTAAGATTAAATATGGAGGTTTCCTCTGTACCTTAATACTACAGCAAATGACTACTTTCCAAAAGCAAACATGTGTTACTTTTATGATCTCGTCTTTAAATATCATTTTAACATACGAAAGAGCATGCTCATTTGACATACGACGAGGTCAATTGTTTATGCAGGGTCTATCAGCTGCTGGGCGAGTCTGGAACTTACTATGGTGTTCGTTTTGGGAAAACCATCCCTTGGGTAACTGAATTTCCGTTTGGAGTAATTAAGGATCCTCAGTACGTCGGGAGCATTTTGTGTCTTGTTGCATGTCTTAATTGGGTGCCACTTTTGTACATTGTCCTGTGGATTCTTGGCTATGTGTTTATGATAAAGGTGGAGTCCAAGGAAGACCCATCAACTCGTGCAAAACCACTCTGTTGAGTTAAGCGGCAGACGAACTCGATATATCGGAGTTTGGTTCTCTAGCACAATTTTCTGATGTATGCGACTTCCAATTTTGTCTGTTGTAACAAAACAAAACGGTTTTGTGTGATTCTCCTGCTAATAAATGAGCTTTGGACTGTAATCCTCGTTGGTAGAGATTCTTTTGGCATGCTGTGGGAACCAAGTTCTGCTGGAATGGGATAGCTGAAAGTTGAAGAAGGGGCCTTATTATTTATATAGACACAAATCACATTTAACCTCCATCATTCTAATACTCAGAGTTGGCGACTAAATTCTGCAGGGCTAATGCTCAATTTAAACTCATTATCATTTGTAGTTTGTGTGAACTTTATAAGCATAACAGGCCCCAACCCACTTTCAATGGATCTTGCTAAATGTTGTCATTTGTTGTAGGGCTATTGATACTTACACCACATGAATTGATAAATTCGCTTCCCTTTCAAATTTTTTCTCCATGTTCCCCTTATATCCTCTCAACCTATTCCTCAAACCACCTCCTTCCCTTTCATGTTCTTATTGTAAGAATATTATATTCTTCTATTATTATGAATCATGAGAATATTCTTTTTTATTTTATTATTATATTCATTTTAATTGAATTAACAGTTAAATTCAATTAAAGTGAATATGTATTTAATAAATTAATTTAATGTTCTAATAATAAAGAGCTCAATTTGTGTTGGGTAGTACATGTTGAATATTAGCAGGACTAGGATTATACGTCTCCTCTATAGGTGAACATGGAGAATGTTAGTAGGATTAGGATTGTAGATCTCCTATATATACTACTACGCATCCCTCTCTCTCGGCTCATACAAAAATAAAGCTCTCAACATCAATGACTTTATGAAAGAGCGACGCGGGAGAGAAAAACAATTCATAAGCAAAGATAAACACGTCATTGGAGAGGACAAACTTAGATCAAGAGTAGAGAATGACTAAAAATTGGACTCTTGTAAGTTGTATGTTCAATTTAATTAATACAAAGATTCGTATTCTATGAACAAATAGAAATACATGTTTATGATTTATTCAAAATCTGTCTAATATTTATGAATATGCCTGTTCTTTTTCTTTCATATAGTATCATATCATGTATTTATGCGTGATTAATTACCAATTTAAAAATCGAATGCCTTATTGTATGTGTAGGAGGTGTTGAGACATGGTGTATTTATACGCTACAACATAGACTCTAGGGATGTGCTAAATATGAGCTTCTCCAAATAAGTTTAGGAATCCTTATGTCTTCCAACTCATTAACCTCTAGAAGTTAGTTACTTCTAGAAGAGTTTTATTTCTTCCAACGTGGTAACATTCTAGAAGACATTAAATCCTTCTACATATTAATATTCTAGAATACCTTTTAATTCCTACTAGTACGTACCCCGTGCGATGCACGGGACAGAAATATTAAATGAGTTATTTTCACAGGCTTTGTCCTAAGTATATAAAGCAATAAGGTTATCATCTATTTTCCACCTCTTTTAATCAGCGTTAAGTGTAATAAACAATAAGGTTACAATCTATTTTGCACCTCCTTTAATCAGCGTTGTTTTTTTAGTTAAAACATTAAATATAGCTAGCTTGTGAAATAATTAACATATTATCTCACTAACACATTTATACTAATATAAATTTGATTTTAGTATATATATTTATTCCTTGATATAAGAGAGAATAACAGTTTTACTTATTATTGTTCACCATATAATACTTAATTATTATTTTATTATAAACTCTGTTGTCATATAATGTCATTATTATTTAGAAAGTCATAGAACTTGTACGCCTTCTTTTTCTTTTTATTTTATGTAATGAAAAATATTTAATGCACGTTAGTATTATTTATTTATGTAATCAATTTAAAATATGTTAATAAATTTAAAATTAAATAGTGTATAAATATTTTACAAAATATACCCATGTTTTTTAAATTTAATTTCGTATACAATTAAATAACTTTGATTTAGAAAATGCAAAAACCCCAATCCCTTCTATGATAAAGATTTTTCAAATTCGCATTATAAGGATTTATAGTTTATTTAGCATATTCTGCAATAAAAAATATATTTTACTATAATTTAATTATATAAATAATAAAAATAAAAAAATAAAAAAAAATAATCATGGGTGCCAATAATATACAAATAAATTCTAAAAAATAATTAATATATTTCAATTTTAATTTTTTACCATTAGTAAAACTATTTAATGTATCTGGTCATTATCTCTTAAATAATAAACTAGTATTCGACCTGTGCATTTGCACAGATATAAATAAATTATTGTGAGTATGTATGCATATCTATATATATATAATAACAATTACCATTTACTAAATATAGTAGCCAAAAATTTAGGTTAGGAAACATTAAATACATACCATTTTTAGAAACTTTTTAAATATATGCATTAATTGCTTTTATATACACGTTTTCAAATAAGATCAAATAAGATATGATAAAAAAAATACTTAAATAAATTTATTAATATCTACAATATTTTCATTGATATTTATTATAATAATTACAAAATTGAATTTTCGTGATTCATGTTGATAATAATTTGGTCAAGATAAATGTTATTTTATTAATATTTACTTTCATTGATATTATAATAAATTACAAGATTGATTTCCATGATCCATGTTGATAATATTTTGGTCAAGATAAATATTACACCATATTTTAAGTTCTAACCATAATATTAATTTTTTTTTCACAAATATTCACTTTTTATTCAAAAGTATTTATGGAAAATCATAACAGTTAGGTAGAATTTTTTTTTCCAAGTAGTCAGACAAAATCAAGTTGGTGAATTAATCTTTGCCATTATATTTCTTTCTTAAGCTTTATTTTGTTAAATATAAAAAATAAATTATTCTTCAAATTAATATAATTTACCATTTAAGAGATAATGACCAGATACATTAAACTAATGGTAAAAAATGAAATATATTAACTATTTTTTCGAATTTATTTGTATATTACTAGCACCTATTATTATTTTTTTTTATTTTTTTATTTTGATTTATTTCTATAATTAAATTCTTGTATAATATATTTTCATTGCAGAGTATGCTAAATAAACTATAAATCTTTATAATGCGAATTAGAAAAATCTTGATCATAGAAGGGATTGAGTTTTTGGCATTTTCTAAATCAAAGTTTGTTTAATTAGTATACAAAATTAAATTCTAAAAAAATATGTGTATATTTTGTAAAATATTTATACACTAATTAATTTTAAATTTATTTACATATTTTAAATTGATTACATAAATAAATAATACTAACGTGCATTAAATATTTTTCATTACATAAATTAAAAAGAAAAAGAAGACGTGCAACTTCTATAACTTTATAAATAATAATGACATTATATGACAACAAAGTTTATAATAAAATAATAATTAAGCATTATATGGTGAACAAGAATAAGTAAAATTGTTATTCTCTCTTATATCCAGGAATAAATATATATACAAAAATCAAATATATATTAGTATAAATGTGTTACTGAGATAATATATTAATTATTTTACAAGTTAACCCTAACATGCTCATATTTAATGTTTTCACTAAAAAAAAACGATGATTAAAAGAGGTGCAAAATATATTGTAACCTTAATGTTTATTACACTTAACGCTAATTAAAAGAGGTAGAAAATAGATGATAACCTTATTGCTTTATATACTTAAATGGACAAAACCTGTGAAAATAATTAATCTAATTATTCTGTCCCGTGCATCGCACGGAATACGTACTAGTAATGATTAATTATTTTTCTTTCACTTTTTTGCAGACCAAATTTACAATTAAAAGAGTTAGAATATATTTTTTTTTTAAATTGCGTTTATCTGATTGGTTGTAATGTATATTTTGGTACGTCTTTTATTTGTAAATTATTTATTTAGGAATTTTAAATATATTTTTATTTTCAAAAAATAAATTAAATGTAACGACAATAATAACATCTAATCACATTATACGGTCAACACATTATATAGTCAAATGTCATTAATCAAAAGTTTAAAATGATTTTTGTAATTTTAAAGTGAAGAGTATTAATTATTTAATGATTAAATGAAAGATTAAATACATCAAAATGTAACGGTTTTTGGAGGGAAAATTGTTAAATTGCCACATAGGTAAAATTAAATAGGTTTTATTAAATGTTATTAGCTAGTAATTATATATATATAGATTATATTAATTTGAAGAATAATTTATTTTTTATATTTAACAAAATAAATCTTAAGAAAAAAATATATTGCCAAAGATTAATTCACCAACTTGATTTTGTCTAATTACATAGAAAAAAAGATCTACCTAACCTGTTACAATTTTCTATAAATATTTTTGGATAAAAAGTGAATATTTGTGGAAAAAAAATTAATATTATGGTTAGAACTTAAAATGTGGTGTAATATTTACCTTGACCAAAATATTATCAACATGGATCATGAAAATCAATCTTGTAATTTGTTATAATGAATATCAATGAAAGTATTACAAACATTAATAAAATAATATTTATCTTGACCAAATTATTATCAACATGAATCACGGAAAATCAATCTTTTAATTTATTATAATAAATATCAATGAAAATATTATAAATATTAATACATTTATTTAAATAATTTTTTGATCATATCTTATTTGATCTTATTTGAAAACGTGTATATGGAAGCAATTAATGCATATATTTAAAAAGTTTCAAAAAATAGTATGCATTAAATGTTTCCTAAATTTTCGGCTACTATTTTTAGTAAATGGTAATTCTTATTATATATATATATAGATTCCTATTTGAATAAATAATAAAACATTCCACTAGAGTAATATTAGTGATCTCCCCATTTAGCTCCAAATAATATAATAATTCTGCCCTTTCTTATTTATTTTTAATTAATCAAATTACCTTCCTATGTTTAAGATATAACGTCCATTAATATTACATTAGGGATTATTAAAATTAATTATTTTTTTATTCTAAATTAGAACAACCAGTTCTTAATTATTATGTTGGAAATTAATCCGCCTGCAGGACTTAACATAATAAATCCTTATTGAGCTCATTCCGGAGACATCATCAACCCAACGAACTCGGACATAGTGACCGTAATTTATTTCGACGACACATTAAATAAACAACATTATTTACCAAAATACTGAGTATGTCATCCTAATTAAAATATGAATCACTCTTGGTAAATCAAACAAATAAGTATTGAGTACATATGCGTATTTATTGTCTTACGGGTTAAGAGAACGCATCAATTACTGAGGTCTAGATTATTTACTTGCTCAATAAAAAATAATCTTATCCTCATTTGGTCCATTCAATACACCTTAAGATGTACTAGCGCAGTTCATCCGCCAAAGATCAACTGAATCAAAATTACGCAATAGCCTTTTGACAACAGTTAGTTCAATTCCGTCTAGGCCGTGAACAATTTATATTTTACACGTAACTGATAATATGATCTTTTCGTTCGACACATCGAACCATATTATATATAGTGTAAAATAAAAGAACTTGTGCTCGCATAAATAAATAAACTACAACCACACATACTTGACTAAAAACATAACTCTCATTCAAATTTGGTATTGTCAGAAACTGAAAGCCGAGCTTTTACAGTATACCCTAACAGGATGAGACAGAAGATCACGTATTAGTTACTTGTAAAACATAAATAATTAGTTGACAACCTAGATGGAAACGAATAACCCATCGTGAACGGTTGTAGTGTTAACTGTACATTCTCTCTTGACTGATTGGTTGCACTAGTTCATTGTGTGCATTGAGTGGATCCCAGATAGGATAAGCTTGTTTTCGAATTGATCAGTAAACAAACTAGACCTTGGTTAATTACTGCTACTCCTAACCTGCAAGATATAAACAAACACGTGCATATAGTAGTTGCTCCTTTGATTCAATAAAAACACCAATCTCATTCAAAATGAAAGTGAGAGTAATACAAAGCCGAGATTCTACAGTATACTCCGATAGCCACAAGGATTGTGACCCGTGGCATGTTGCGATAAGCGCTGCGCGCCATATATCAAGTTTCACTACACTAGAATGTGAGCTGCGTGAAGCGTTGCTAGACGGGGGCGTTTTGCGTCTGGACTGTCACGTGCTTGCTCACTCTCAACATGCGTGCTTCGAGTTCTAATGCTTGGCTAACCTCGGTTTGCCCGGGCGCTCGCCTGAGCACTTATACGAGTTTGGTTTGTGTTCCAATACTAGACTGGTGTTCGCTTTAGCTCGAATGCAAGTTAACTTTGAACTGTTTAGAACTCTTTTTTTTTCACATATTGATTAATTTTTTAATTTAAAAATAAATTTTGATTCACCTTACGATAATTTTATTTTTATCATTTAAAATTCTCTTGTACTATTCAATTAGGATTTCTAAAGATTTTTTAACAATTCAGAAATCCTGGTGTATTTAATTTATATTTCTCAAGACTTTTAAAAGTCTTGAGGTATTAAATTGGGATTTTAAGAAGTCTTACAAAATGCAGAGGTATTTAATTTATTTGACACTATGATTTGTTAAGACATTTTAAGATTGATTGAGATTTTTAAACACAAAAACATATACGAAATTCCACTCCAAATCCCACTCAAAGACTTAAAATTTCACAGGATTCCTCTAAAATCTGAAAATCTAAAAAAATCTCTAAATATCACTCGAAATCCCAAATGAATACACCCTCTAAATGAAACTACAAATTGATACACATATGGCAATATTTAAACAGGATGAAGTATAGTATATGTTATTAGATGTGTGTTTTTTTTTCTTTGCTTTTTAGGTTTGTTAGTCCAACTTTATTTGGCTCTAATATTCTTTATGTGTTTAAGTCTCCATTATAGAGTTTGTGTTTTGTAGTGTTCCTTAATGGAGTTGTACCATTTGGATTTGTCTGTAATTTTAAAGGGAGTAGATTTAGGTTTTTTGGTTCCTTAATGTCAGTTGACACTTATTTTGTATACTTTTAATTTTTCTGTTATTAAGTGTTTGTCCGTTTGAAACAAAAAAGTATATCTTATAAGAGCACATTTGGTTTCCAAGATGGGATTTGACTATTTTTATCACTTGGTCCGGATTGCACTGTTAAGATAAAAGTGTTTCAATGTTTGTATTCCATGATTTGTGCTTTAGTTAAGAATGAATAAAAATATAACCTACATTTGTTTGCTGTGATAATAAGTTAGATTAAGGTATAGATTGACTAAAGTACTCTTGTGGTTCTTCAACCATCTCTGTCATAGATTGACTAAAAAGGTATATAATGCCTTTTTGGGGGCTAAATTGGTCAATTCATCAAACTAAAAATGTGCAGATTAATTGGATCATGGGTGCATGGGCGAGATGCCTTAATCCTGAGCATTTTTATCGCGGGCCTTGTGTTTTATTGCGGGCCAGAATCATAGCTAACAAACTCATGATTATTCAAGATAAATGAGCTTATCCTATCTAATCTCTTCAACCAAATGTGCTCTAAGGAGAGGGATTAATAACATTCGGTTATAGAGTATATTTGTGTTGGTTCATGGTCTTGAATGTATTAGTGCTAGGCCACCATGTTGTGTGGTTCTCATGTTCTTGGTGACATTGAGCTATTTCTCTCCAATGTATTTGTGTATTTGTGATTGATATAAAATTTCCTTGCGGGGAATAAAAAAAAAAAAATTTCGAAACAAAACCAAACGTCTAACTTACACTTTAGAAAGGAAAAATGAGAAAAAGAAAAAGGAGTTGACAGGTTTTCTTTCTGAGGTGGCAAGCTTTAAATGGAATAGTTTTCTGCTCTCTTCACTGCAAACAAATGCAGCCACCTACTCTTTTCTCCTGCTTTCCCATTTCTCTCTAAAAACATCCCCAGTTGGCCGCTGTTGATCCACCGCCGCAGCAAAGTTTCCTCCGCCTGCAAGCAACGCATCCGCCACCGCTCCAAGGTCTCCCGATCGCCGTCCCCTCCACGCGGAACGACAGCTGCTTTGTCGTTTCTCTCTCTAGGTTACTAATTTCCCCTACTGTAAACAACAATGTACTTTCCGAACCTCAACCCGAAAGCCCTAATTCACTTCGGGCAATGCTCATTCTGAAATTCCTCCTGATTACTATACTTTCAAAACCCTAGCTCTATTGAGTCCATAATGTCTGGACCGCCGAAGGTTAAACCCACGAATTTCTCGGAACTGGAGGCTCGACCGGTTCTCGGACCGGCCGGGAATAAACCCGGCCCCGTCGAGTTGCGGAAGCCGGCCCTCAAGCTCAAGTGCGAGAAGACAGAGCAGACGCCTGTCGAGGCGCCAGCTGCTGATGGGGCCAAGGGGAACAAGTCTCCGGTGGCGTTCCCAGAGAAAATACCTTCATCGGCGGGTTTCAGGAGGAACTCAAGCAGTGCAGGCTCGATTCTGAGCCAACGGCCGCCGAACTTGTCCCTGAACGCCTCATGCTCCTCAGATGCCTCCTCTGATTCTACACGCAGCAGGGCCTCCACAGGGACTATTGCCCGCCGGACCATGAATCTGGCACCACCTGTAAAGAAGAAGCAGCAGGGCAGCTTGAAAGGAAAGAGGGTCGAGAGTGTGGAAGGTAATGGAAAATGTGTGGGGAGCGAGTGTGATGGTTATGCGGAGGATGGTGCTCTGGTCAAGAAAAGGTGTGCTTGGGTGACCTCGAATACTGGTATGTTTGCGACTGTGTTTTCATGGAGTATTAGAGATAATAACTGTGGTATTTATTGGATTTTGACTCCGTGTGTTTGTTCAGTGGTTGGAATTTTTATTTATTGAGTATTGTATATATCCACATAACGTGTCGGGTTCTAAATGTAGGGTTCTGTTCTTTTTTTCTTTAGGTCTGGTATGTTAACCAGGAATTGGATTTGCATCTGAATTTGGTTTCTGAGTGCTAGGTTTCATATTTTATCTCTGCTACTTGAAGTGGTTCTTACTTTTTACGCATGTTGTTATTTGTTTACGCTCGCATCATGATGGAAGGTACATGAATATGAAGTAAACTTATGTATCCAACTATGTATCTATGTAACCAACCTAATATCCTAGCATTATCTTGGTCATCATGTGTACCTCCGCTTAGTTAATATAACTGAGATATGTGTTTTCCCATGGATTGAAGAATTTCTCCGACTGTTAATGAGGCTTATCATTTAACTATATTATAATGTTCCTATTGCAGTCCAATTCACTTGCTAGTGAAAGAAAACATTATTATTAGTTGTTAAGATTGTTTCAGTCTATAAAGATGTGGGTTACATGGATTTTTGAACAATTCTTCCACTTATGCATCCTAAGGTTTCCAAGCATCGGACTGGATGACCTTTTTTAAGGATTGATTTTTTTGGGACTTAAGATAGTTTCTCTTTGGAGTTTATTTTCTTAGTTTGAATGGATAAGTTGTTTTCTTAGTTTGAATGGATAAGGATTGCACCAGTTTTTTTTATGCTGGTTACTCTAGTTGACATTTGCATGATTATGTATCACTATAAAATAAAGTGTGAAAAGCTACAAGGTATAACGGTGTGTCACACTTATTGATGCCAAGAAAGCGATAACCAATCGTCGCTATAGCCTGTCGTAGAAAACCCAAAGAAAGCAGCTTTCTGTTGCATAAAATGACATAAGAAACCGTGTCATGATAATGCCAAATTAGTGGTTGTCTGTTGCCAACAGTCTTAACTAATAGAAATTTTGTGCTGTAAGCCTGTGTGCAGTACATCTGGGTAATGAAAACTGGTGTCAATTGAACAAGGAAAAGCGATGATAATAGTTAGTGCTAGGTATGAAAGAAGCGCACATGTTTTGAAGATTTTGCCTCATAAAGATGTACTTACGAAAATCTTTGGATTTTGCCTCCACCTTCTCTGAATTAGAGATAATGTGGCGAATCAAAATCTGCACGTCATGAATCTGCTTGGAGGCATAAGGAGCCACAATTCCACCTTTCACCAATCCTCCGTACATGTATTTGTTATAATAATAATAATAATAATAATAATAATAATAATAATAATAATAATAACTGCAATTTTTAATCTTCTGTATACAAGCACTTCGGTTTGTTCTGTAGTTTCAATATTACAAGTAAAATGGTTGTACAGCGGTTCATCTTCTGATTCAATATCATCAAGAGTTTCTACTGTCTGTGCTCTCGTTTCGTGGATGCTACTGTGACGGATGGAAGAATAATTCTTTATGACCCTTCCTGCTTGATATACCCATGCTGTAAAATGTTGACCCATTATTGTGTGTTTCTCTGGTGTTTAAGAATGATGCATGTGGTTAATTCCCAAAAATCGAGATAGTTTCACTTTCTATCTCTTTGGTGAACACTGTCTTCTCTGTGGTTGTTATTTCCTGTAAATATTATTTGGTGATTATCATCCCATTTTTTCTTCATACATTAAATGTTAATGCTGTTGCTCTTGTAATACATCCAGCTGATTCCTTTTTCTTTTTTCTTTTTTTTTTCTTTCCGTTTATTTTTTTGACCCGAAAAGATCCATTGTATGCTGCTTTCCATGATGAAGAATGGGGGCTTCCTGTGCATGATGACAAGTATGTATTACCTCCTCCTTGATTTACTTATTAGGCAATTATTTTTCAGTATCTAATTCTTCATTTGTCTGTGCTGTGATCTTTTCCCAGGAAGCTATTTGAGTTGCTAAGCTTTTCCACAGCATTGGCTGAACTTACATGGCCCGTTATTCTCAGCAAAAGGACCCTTTTCAGGTAAATTAGCATATGCTGAGGTATTTTGTGTAGATTATCAGTTGCGCTATATGCACAAAGATTTGTGCAGGGTGCTAATTTATTGTGCAAGGTGTTGGACAGAGATGTTTTCCTGGACTTTGACCCATTAGCCTTGTCGAATTTCAATGACAAAAAATTGACTGCCTCTGGAAGTCCTGCCAGCTCTCTTCTGTCTGAACTGAAGCTGCGATCAATTGTTGAAAATGCACGTCAAGTCTGTAAGGTGTGTTTTTTGACCTTTTTATCACTTGTAAATACATAAACTTCAAGATGTATTTTGACTGCTTTTCATTTATTTTACTGGTTATTAGAATTATAATTATTTTTGTAATGATCACTTCATCTGGGGGAATTATTGTGCGGCTAGGATATCACTTCATTTTGGGCTTTGTATTTATGAAGACTGTTATCTTTCAAAAATTGAACGGGATATCATCCGTAGTTCCTAGCATATAAGAACTTTCTTTTAGCATCTTATTAGCATTCATAAACTTGTTGGATGGTTTTCAGAGTCGTTAGGTATTATAGTATAATTCAAAAATTATCATGAGAAAACCAAAACGGTTTCAGTAAAAGAACTCTTGATGTTTGATTTCGTATTAACTAAAATTTTCAAGAGGGTAATTGTAATATGTTTACAAATGAAAACGGATTATTTCCAAAGTGCGTGTGTATGAAAGCGAAGATATATGACAAAATCAAAACGCAACGAATTCTCATAATTTTGAAATCTATTTTGTTATTTTGGCAAAATACCTCAACCCGCAGATAATAGACGAGCATGGTTCATTCGACAAATACATTTGGGGTTTTGTGAACTACAAACCCATCGTTAGCAACTTCCGCTACGCTCGTCAAGTCCCGATCAAAACATCTAAAGCAGACACCATAAGCAAAGACCTCATCAGGAGAGGCTTCCGAGGGGTGGGGCCCACGGTGGTGTACTCATTCATGCAGGCCGTTGGGCTTACAAATGATCACCTCGTCAACTGTTTCAGACATCGGGAATGCGTAATTGCGGCCGACTTGAAGGAGAAAGAAGCAAAGATTGAGGTGGGCCCACATGAGGATCTTGAAAGATTAGCCGGAGATATTGATGACGTGAATCTCTCCAGGTAGAAACTGCTTT